GGTTTGAAGAGAGCCAGAGTCCTAAAATTGTCAAAAGTGATAAAGACCCAAGTGACTGATTAACGATCTCCGAAGAACAGCAAGCGCTCTTTTTTTCCTGGTCCAGTCTCTTCCCATCAGCATCTAATTACAAGAGCTATGACATAAATAATTCATGCAACACTTTAGGAAAAAATCTTGACAATCAACACAGTCGATCTGAAACTTCTGTCATTATTAATTCACCATCTGCTGAATGCTTTTCTGCCATTTTTTCTACCGCTTGGCCTGATTGCGTGATGATGACAGTGTTTGGGTGCATAATATAAGTACAAACTATGATCTTTTCAAGCCCTTTTCGAATTCCTATGAATAGGAGATTTGTATGCAAAAGCTTTGGATGGTAGCTAAAAATGATTCTAGCTCTCTTTGTTATATTGTCTTTGTTATACAAATTAAAAAGAAGAAGTGACCATTATTTCTGTAATATGGTGTCATAGAGCTCATCCTTGCAAACACAACCACGTACTTTAAATGAGTCATACTTGGCATGAGTAATATAATGACCGTATGTGCATAGCATTACGTCGGTCTGTTTAGTATGGTAATGCTCGGTAAACTTCTGGGTTCAATGGTTCAGCAGTCATTCTAATTAGGAGTCTGTTAATTGGTTACATTGTTGCTCTGACACTTGTTAATCTAGAGGCAGATTAACAATCTTCACTTCAGCACAAAACAGGCCACTCTCTCACTTCACGCAGGTCGTTCCTCAGAGAAACTGATTCGTTGTTGCGTCTGGGTTTCGTCATTGAAGGGATCTATTTGACAGGATGCTCGTGAGATTTGATTATGCTACTGTTGTTGTGTGAGGTTAACACAATTAGGCTGACTCTGTACTCACAACGTCAGACTACAGCCGCACGGACTCTCCCCCTTGCCATACACAGCAGATGGATTTACAGGGTGATGAAGGGCTGATGAGTTGAGGAATACTGTTTATCAGATGGCCTTTTGTTGTCATTACAATAAACAAAATTGAAAGCGATACATTTATTATTATTCAGATAATCAAATTATTAATTCTTTTATTTTATTTTTGAATGAGCAATCAATTAAAGAACTAATTTGAACAGGTGTCTTTCGTTCCCCTTTAGAGTTGATACAGCAGTATGACGATATTTAGAATATGGGATGGAACATCAGCTACTGGAGGTGCATTTAGGGAGCAAGGTGATCTACAACAGTGTACAAACAGCAAGGACACTGAATAATCCGACAGCCCTGTGTCATCAAACAGAAACACGGGTCTCCATCTACACGGTGTGCTGATGTATACGGGACATGGAAGGTGTGTGTGCGAGTGTCCCACAGGATGGGATGCTGGTGAGCTACTGTTCTATTCAGATCACACTGCTGAAACTGCAAAATGCACTACGCTGTCTCCGTCAACAGTAGTGAGATGAATAATGCAAAGGCATCACCATTATCCTACAATGCTATTCGAACTTTAACTTGAAATATTCTACCTTATATAATATAGCACCGTGATACGTGTGCAACACTAATACATGCAAATGTTATGGCAGTAAACTGTCAAATTTGTACGTTGCCCAAGATGATATATATGAAAACAAGCAACAATGAACAAATAACTTTTAGGAAACATTTTAGGAACAATCTGAAAGATTATCAACGACAAAACTTTTAATTTGCTCCGTTGTAAAAAGCTAAACACGCAGCCTTTCTCCCATCATTTCAAAAGGTGTCTTTTGTTAGCCCTCTGTTTGCCACGGTTACCTCTGCCAGTCCTTTGACCTGGTTGACTTTGTTTGATCGAACCACTCAGGTAGCCATCACTCTGCTGTGGCTCTGCTCCTCTACCAGCCGGAGATCTCAGCATCATCAGGTCCTCCCTGCTGACCGCACTCTCAAACCTGAGGCCCTCGATGATCAAGGTCTCTCCGTCCTCCTCTACGCTGGCCCGACACTCCAGCTGAATCGGTCACAACAACAACATGGACACTAGATCACACTGTGCACGGCAGAGAACATAAAAGACCATAGTTTTTTACAGTTAAAAACTGCCTTGTGCAGTAAGTGCAGTATGCAGAATGTGTGCATATGTGTGTGTTTAAAAAGAATAAATTAAAAGTCCTCACTACCATTAGTGTTTCACTAGCCTGGTTCCAGACGTCTGAATGAGCGCCTACATCTCACATTTTGTTGGGAGATTCAAAGGCCTTTCAAGAAGCTGGGGAAGTCGGCTGGAGAAGTAGCTGAGCCAATGGGAATGTTATTTGACTCGGCCGCAGCGAGAATCCAAAACAAATACGGCAACACGCATGGATTAAATGAATCCAGTTTTTGAGACTTTTGTAAAGACACATGCTGAAATAAATGCTGTTAAATCAGAACACTACACGCTGAAGGCCTTTCTAACCAAAGGTTTTTGGAAACTTTTAATTTGTTGCCCACTCTGTTACTTCAAGAAATAGGTCGGGAGGATTTAAGGTTTAAAGCTCTTTGTCTTGCCTTGATCACTTTGATGGAAACCCATGTATAATCAGCTGAGAGGCTTTGCTCAAAGTCCACAGCGACAATTGAACGGTGAAATAGTGAAGTAACTTCTACCGTAAGTCAGCTGAAAGCTACATTGACGGCAATTTAGTGGGAATCTGAGGCTGCAGCTAAGAGGCAAATTAACGGAGTTGCTATGCAACTGTATGGAACGCATGTAGCCTGACCACTTCTGACCCCAGTATTGAGTGAATGTAATAGTCTTATCTGCTTCATTATGTCCTTCAAAGACAGGATGGGATTAATTAAGAAAATAGACCTCTTTGGGCGACCCATAACAGCATCAGCGGGGGGGAAGAACAAAGACAGAAAACAAGAAGGAAGACAGACCTCATGGAGCCACATGACCAATAGATATCACTTAAGGCAACAGTTAAGCTTATACAAATAATACTACTTTGTAAAGGGAAACATTGTGGTCATGTTCATATTCCCATGGTTCCATGAGGTTTGTCTGAGGATTTGCACCCCCACCTCTGTAAACATTGTGCGTTGTTTCTGGTTGTAGGGGTCTCTTGATGTACATGCGTCCAGCAGTTCCTCGATGTCATGCATCAGCAACTGAGCCTTAGACAACACTGCAATGACATGAAAGAAAACAGAAGTCGTAACCACCTTTACGATGCTCAATACATGTGGTAAACACTGCTGCAGGCATGTACAGTACATCTCTCAGCTCCATAAAGTTATATAACCATTCAAACTGTTGTTTGCAATGCAATGCAATGCAATGCCTGTTGCCTTATTCCGGAAGGGTTGGACTGACTATAACACATGTGCTTATTTAGAAGATTAAATCTGGATGGGCAGCTTTTAAAGAAATAAATTACACCTTAGTAGATGGGACGAGCGCAGCGTTATTTATATGCAATTTTAAGCCTGACCACGGCAATACACTGAACTTCAGAAAACTAATACATTTTGAGAATCTATCAGTCTGGAAATAAAAAAAGAACTTTAAACTTTGATTGAAAAGCCTTTTTACTCATGCTGTAAAAACATACGCCCTGTTGAGGTGACATATACAAGTGGTGGACTTACACTCGCGAGTCTTTAACATGCAGGTCTTAGGCTCCTCTTCACATGTCATGTCACCGATCTTTGCAGGTTCCTCCAAAGCCAAGTCACAGGGTTTGTATTTCCCACGTTCTTGGACTGCTATGCCTTTTGAAGGGATTTATATTACACATTTAGGAATTATTTGGCAAAATGATGAATGGAAAATGCACGTTCTAAAAGCAGTGACTATCGTGGGTGGAATACACCTCAAAAATACTGTAGAGTAAGACCAACGTTAGAAATCATAAAAACAAGTGGTATTTTATGAAAGCACAGAGCTTTAGTATTATTTGTTGCTTTCTTTAAAAACGTAATTTTTCCGTTAAATACAAATATCAATATTAAAATAGTTATTACAGGTTGACCATATAGCTGTTTGGACTATGTTTGGGCATCTGCGTGGCATTCCATTTTAATCGGGCTATTTACGAGACCTAATGCTATAAGTTAGTTACTATGAGAGAAATCTGAATGTTTTATTAGTGTTAAGAACATTATGTCAACTCATTAGCCAGTTCTGACGGAACTTAATTTATCCAAGACAGGCTGCTGAATGTGACACCGGGAACGCACTTATAGTGTTGGAATGTTCAGTCACATCATTATTAATTAATGATTGAAATAAGCTGTAGCTTAACAATTTTCATCAAATCTAGCAACCGTTTGGTGATTGAAATTAACAATTAACTCTAGCTAGCTAGCTAGCTAGACATTGCTATACCTCCCAGCGCAGAAACGACAGCAGAAAAAAAATATTGTTTCCTTTTTTTCTTAGCCGATAAGAAATAAATTAAATTTGTATTTTAGCAGTGTCAGCTGAAGTGACCTTACCGTATCTTAGCAAAGCATGTGAGAAAATACTGGCGAAGTTCGTAAAAGTTAATAAACGTTAGCTAGCATGAGCTAATGTTATCATTATAACGTCAACGGTCAAATTAACAATTAGCTTTAGGTAGCACGTTAAACCGTTAAAATGTAAATCACTTTACATTATTAAATTATAACGTTACTATTTATTTTTATTTTACTTAATGGGCGCATCTGAGACAAGATACATACGTTACCAAATAATGATGGCTATTGAGATTTGATGACCCTTTGACCCCTGGCCCCTTAATAAGGACGTGACGTCAAACTCGATTAGACACGCTGTACGTTGCCTACATAAAACAATGTAACGTCAATTGTAATTAAGTCGGCTCATACTCCTCGGAAGGTGAAACTATTCAACTGTTGTATTAATTCAGCAGAACTAGCTCCTATTTCACATGTTGTCATTGCAGCTTCTTCCCTAACGTGTTATTGCTGATTATGCCACGCTTAATATTACTCTCATTTACATCGTGCGTTTATTTTGAAAGGACTTTAACAGTCAAGTGACACCCGGAAGTTTTGGTTTCCTCACCTGTCAGTTCTGACACGGTGCGAGAGTCCAGCTTCGTTTCTTTGTTTTCCCCCGGGAGAAAGGTCTTCTTCTTTCAAGAATAAATGATAATCTTGTGTGGCCAACTGACACACAATTGAGGAGAGCATCTAAAACGGTTGGTGACAGTTGAGATGGGAAAATAATCGACTGCTTTTGCTTCACCTCGTCAGAAGACGTTAGCAAAGAGCTAACGTTAGCTAACCGTTATCATCAACTGTTTGATCAATGTAATGACGGAAATGATCGATCCATATTGCATACATCTCCACGTGACTGTGCGTTATTATTCATTCTGAAACCAATTTTAGAACTGCCTCCTGTTTAGTCGGTTGTCCACAGAGCTAACGGAAGCTAACACTATAACGTTAGCATCGCATAGAAACGAGTGTCAGTCAATGTTTACAACCCAATTATGGCTGCTTTGCATCCTTAAAGGAAATACGGTATCTTCGTTGCTTTCACGTCCCGGTTAGCCGTTAGCTCTTGTATGTGATCGATGTGCGGGTAACGCGATGACGTTCCTCTCCGTGTCTTATTTTGGTTACATGTTGACTTTCGTTTTAACTTGCTGGGGTCACTTTCAATTTTAGACCTAGTTTCTCAAGTCGTCATTTACAGTCAGTGCCCCTGCGTTTATTTTGTGGTTGGTTCGAAGCCATTGCCTCAGATCTTGAAGCATCCGTCCAATCCTCCTCCTGAAACTTACTTTTTGCTGACATTCGGCCCTTACGGTTAAAAACTTGGCTCTTCGGTGTTTGCTGCATCATTGCATGCTGACATCATCGACCAGCGGTAGCTGCACCGCCTCTCCTGCCAAGCTGGTACTCTGAACAAAGGAGATCAAGGAGGGTTTGGTCGGTTAACTTTACCAGTCTGTCTGTCTCAAGTAGCTTGCCTGGACTTCGTTCTTACTGAGAGTCAATTGATCTGTGTCAGTGTGAGTCTCTAGCTTCTCCTCTGTAACTGTGTCCAATCAAAGTGTAGTATTTGCGTTTATAACTTTAGGGAATATTTTTTCCAGAAATAGATTGTTTTTGTATGGACAGTATTGCTTTATTATAGGGCAAGCAACCATTGATCCAAGGCAATGTGACTAAACTACGGATGCCACAAATGTCCCAGATATCACAAATTGCAAAGCTTGAAATGTCTCATAACAGCAGGTATATGGACACAAAAGACACGTTACTGTAAGGTGGGCCTGAGGTCATCCATATGTGGCTTGATGCTGGTTGTCTCAACCAGTATAGTCACAAATGCATCAACTCCAGACCTTTTTATTAACTGTTTTAGGAAGTGGTGATGAAACAAAACAAAGCAGTTGAACAAACATTAGAAGAGCAAGTAAGACAATTACTTTAACAATAATAAGGACAACCTTAAAGGTTTACAATATGTAAACCCTGTCAAATTTGAGTTGAACTTTGTCTATTAGTCACAATTACCATTTGCAACATATGTATTAATCCCTGTTGCTCAGCCTTGAGTTATGTACTTGACGTATTGTTTACAGCTCTTTACACTTCATTAATTTGAATGTCACCACTTTACTTTCCAATATGCTGTTACATCAAACCAGCTTCTTTTAAGAAACCATGTTCAATCTGATAAATAATCTCTCTTGCACACAGGAAGTGATGCATTGTACGTATCCTGGAGCTTGTGTCATCAACTGAACGGCTTGCCACCCCCTAACATGTCACAGTAATGACATGTCGCAGAAACTAGTAACCAAACCACTGAACCATCCCACAAGTCAACACAAATGTTTTAGCGAACTTAAGTTGTCTAAACCAAATGGTACTTTGTTTAATTTATTCATTTTGTGGTCTAGGGATGCTTCACTGTGAAAATGAAACTACCATCTGGTTCTCCCCAGGTCTTTCCTCTGCTGGTGAGTAGGCCTGTGCAGGCATGGAGCCCCTGGCAGTGGATGATGACATTTGCATCCTTAAACATGAGACGGCCTACACCGCTGCTGGTGAGAGCCCTGTATCGGTGTGTGCTGGAGATGAATCTGTTGCCTCCCACTTTGCCCTGGTCACGGCCTATGAGGACATCAAGAAGAGGCTGAGAGACACGGAGCGAGACAATACCTTGCTGAGGAAGAGGGTTAAGCAGCTGGAGGACAAGGTATGGATGTAAATAAACAGGTGATGGTGGGAGAAAGGCAATATGATTATAGCGTTAGGGGGATTGAAGTAGAAGGGTATACTGCTCATTCAAGTGACTTAAAAACCAAGAAGCAAGGTTTAGAAAATGGCTTTTTTTCTTCTTATTATCATTATTCATTCATTTTCCAGGACATTGGAATTATGGACACAAATGCTCCGAGAAAGTTTAGAAAAGTCAGCAAATTCAACTGCAAACTATTCGCCTCTGGGAGAGAGTGCATGCCAGCATCATTAATATTGTTGGCCTATAGTCAAAGCCATAAAACAATGAGAAATACATGTGCTCTGTTTACCAGAGAGGAAGGCTGGGAAAGTATGTTATTGCCACACAATGTGTCAAGGCAGTACACTTGGCACCCGAAAGTGTACTGAAAAAGAAACTGACGGATGGAGTACAATACAGAGAAGAGCTATTTAAACAGGAAGGGTCCTAATACAGATGGTAGGCTGACGGGAAAATGCTGCACAACACACAGACCGAGTCGCTTCTAGAATAATCTAGAATGTTTTCTTATCAGGTGCTGTATTTGCGGTGGAAGGAAACTAACCTCCCACCACAGATATGTGAGTTGATCGCTCTTGTCTATCTCCACTGTAGCTCTTCAGGCCAGAGGCTCCTTCATCAGAGGGCCCCCAGTACGTGAACAAGGCCTTCAGCGCTTACCGAGGTATCTATATAGAGAAGGAGGACCTGCAGATGGAGCTCAACAAACTGGTGCGTTTACTGGTTAACTTGGATTTTTTAAGGATGAAGAGAATAGAGGAAAAAAAGAGTGAGGGATAGAGGGCTACATGATTCGTTGATGTGACTGACTCTCCCTTCTTCCACCTCACTGTTTATTCTCTTTCTCTGTCAGAAAAAGGAGAAGAGTGAGAGCGAGAGGTGTCTGACGGAGCAGCTGCAGGCCAAAGAGTTGGAGCTGCTTCAGCTGAGGACGGAGATGGAGACCAGCCAAGGTACAGGTACAGCACACAGGGTTGCCTTCTTCTCTACACAACAGCCAGACAGCACCTCATACTTCCTCATAGTACGGTATTACTTAAGTCACGTGATATTATGTATTTATTTATTGAACTATTTTAATGATGAGGTCTTTGAGGCAAAGCCAACACTAAGCTACTGTGTAATCTTAATATTAATGATGCGTCAGATATACCAAATTTAAAAACAGCAACACTTAACATTTCCAAGTTCAACAGTCCTTTTTTAAATTGTGTATGTGCAGTGATGAAGAGCCTGAACAGCCCTCAGGACTACTGGCAAGTGGACAGTATCGGCACTGACCTAAAAATCCACAAGCTGCAGGAGGACTTGGAGAGGGTGACGCTGGAAAACAGCAGACTGCTGGAGAGAAGTGGGGTAAGTGAAAGTTGGAAGACGGCAGAAAAGGAATGAAAGAATAGGATAGTAACGGGGAAGAGGGGGGATAAGAGGTACTCGTGGGAGCAACGCAGCGTAGTCGGGGAAAAGAGAGGGGTAAGAATAGGAAAGGGACTATGCGTTTAATGTGAGCATTAGGGGGCTGAGTACTGGTCCAATAAACACCACAAGTATTAAACACAACTTCCGACACCGCCTCCACTCTATTTTGCATAACTTTCCTCTGATTTAGGAGGAACCCTATGGCCTTAACGGACCAGACTTGGACCAGACCGGTGACGCAAAGCATGAAAACAGGTAGTGTATTTTATAATTATCATTTGAGTGGCTGCCAATTCACCAGCCACCTCTCCTTTAAGCGACAGATGACAAAGGGATTAAGCACCGTGGTTGTGCTCATGTAGGTGACCATCAGTAGGAATAAATGGTATTTTATTGCGTTTCTTATATTCAATACCGATTCTTCTTAAGCAGTATTCCAGTTTAAAACGTTTTCCCAAATGTAGACTCTTTTTACAACGTTCCCCTTAGATTATTTTCTCTTTTTTGGATAACTTGCTGTGATGCTCGCAAATGCACCACATGGATGTTTTCAACTGGAAAGCAGAAAATGCAACTTGAGATGATCCAAAATGAATTCAGTTGCTTCCTAGAAAATAACTACAAGCATAATTTAGCCATGTAGTCTGCCAAAAATGCAGCAATGAGCCTGTGCACATTTGTAAATAAAAGAAAAAAGTGTCAGGAAGCCACTTTCATGACAAATATCCGTCTACACTGGTAGAATATGTGTGCTGTTGTACGCGGCATGTGATGTCTTTATCTGCTGGGGTTGTAATGGTCCCCTTTGGCCACTAGAGGAGGGTGCAGCTTTGTACATTGTAACTCTGTAAGAAAAGCCTCTCTTATGCCAATAACCCCAGATGCACCTGAGCTCCATGATCACACCAGCTAAAGCCCCCGACACCTGCGTCCATTACAAATACAATTTGCACTTGTTTTAATGTAAACAAGGCCCCTAACATGTGGAACTGCTGCTCTACTTTTGCACTGGCGTTAATCTCCAGGAAATTAGCACCTCCTTGTATTTCATGAAAAAAAAAATCTATTTCTGGCGCATTCTAATTGTTTCATGTCAGCTGTTTCCGTATAGCATTGGGGGGGAAAAAGTTTTTCGTCACAGTATGTTTTTTTTTTTTTTTTACGGTTTCAGGCAGGTGTGTGAAGTTAACAAGTGTTGATGAGATTTTGCAACTTTACATAAGGTGTGGATTGGACAGTTTGTAGGTGTTGCCTGAAATACCTCCACTTGCTTTGCTTTGCTTTGCTGCTGATGCTACTGGGGGGTTTAGCATTGAAATCAATCACACATTCCTCGTCAAGTCAACCACATACAGCGTGAATGTGTCTTTTATAGTGGTAAATGATACTCTCCCCCCCTGTGAAATTCATCCGGGCCTTTTTTAAATCCGTGCATCGTGTTAAATGTGTGAGCAAAGAAACACCGTATTTAGCAAAGAAACAAACATGCCAACATAAACATTCCAATTAAACATAAGCAGAGTTTAAGGACAGGATTATCAAACAACAGGTCTCTGTATCGCAGTAGTCACAACATCATCAAGGATATTTGACTGACCGTTGGATGTTTCTAACCACGCAGGCTCTTAAAACCCCCCCCCAGGCAAAATCCTTCAAACGAAATGTTTCAGAGAAAGCTTGCTTCCTCCTGCAGGGAGCGGAGCATGCAGCACACGTACGAGGCCCTGTGTTGTGAGGTCACTCATCTCCGCTCGCAGCTGAAGCACCAGACGGGCCTGATTAGAAAACTCAAGCCACTCATCGGCGAGGCAAGACAAGGTGAGGCAGATCCGCGGCCACGAGCAGGCAATTTGTGGCTGTTCATCTGAATAGAACTGATTTGTGCCTTTAGTTTCTGTGCTTGTGTCAGTATGTGTGTTGTTCTCTTTCACAGTCCCCTACACACCCTTATAGCAATTTGTCTGCGCTTTTTTTTTCAGGTTACTTATGTCTTCCAGACTAGTATTGAATTCTTGATGAAGGTAATGGTCACAGGCAATGGTCATGTTCATAAATGTACATGTACTTTTTGCATGCCTGCACTCTCAGGCTGATCGTATTGGTCCCATTGAGGAGCTTCCATCTCGAGAGACGCTTTCCATACCCGTCTTGGAGATGAATTTATACATCGCATAGTCTAACTTTTGAAGAAGCTTTCAGCAGCCAGTGAAAAGAGGCAGACCATAATAACAAGTGTTTGTATATTTAACAAATCTGACATTTGTAAATGTGTCTTTTAGCCCGATGAGGAAAATGTCCGATATGTTCAAATAAAGTTCTGGGGCTGGAATCCAAGCCTTGCTTCTCAACACGAGGACTAATGTGACTAACATGAAAGGACAAGAAAAGGGGTTCTACGTCCTCCCTTCTGTTAAGGGAAGGCTTTTCTGAGGAGAAGCACTACTCCGCCGAGAAGATTTCTCCTGCTGCTCCTTGTCACAATTTGTATAAGAGTGTGATAAGACTGTGGATATTATCAAAGTACTCAAACACTCTGATCAAGGACATCATGAAATAGTCCGTTCCGCCTCTCCCCTCCCTCTGTGATGATGTATTCTACTCTAGGAGAGATTACCTCTGTTGTCGATTCCCTCGCAGTGTCAGAACAGGAGACATGGAGGTGAAAATTAGAACGAAATACAGCAAGAAAAATAAATCTTAGCCTATTTATTCCACTGAATAACAGGCTAATCCTGTAACTTAGATGAGGCAGATGGACAAATAAGAAAAGCAGGAGTGGCAAAGAAAGAGATATGAAGGGGGGGGGGGGGGGGGGGGGCTATGTATTTATTCAGCATATTGTGCATCTGTATTCTCCTAATGTTACTCTTTTGGAATCACTATTATTCAAATTCTAGACTCGGGAGACCCTCTTGTGGAAGAGTAGCGTGGAGGGATAGATGATGTGTGGATGGAGTGCGGCAGGGGGAAAAAGTGGGAGAAGATACTCTATTTTAAATGTATTATTCGCTCAAAATAATCATTCGGTAGCAATGCAACTACGTGTGAGATTAGGACATCTGATTTGTGCATTGAATTGCTTTGTACGCAATTTAAGTGCGGCTTGGTTCATGCATAGTGGGCTTGTATCATTAGTTCTAGTGAACAAGACCTCATTAATATTGAGGATACTCACATTGGTTTTATTGTACAATACGTAGCCTGTTCTGCGTGGTGCAATATTTTGCTTTTTTTTTTTTACAAGGCGAGGCCCTATTAACTCGTGAGCGATCACACGGCTTGCTTAACGCACATTGGAAATCTCTTCAGGGACAAAAGTTAATCCACATGTGAATGAGTAAAGAAAAGAGGGACACAATGACGTTAAAGAAAAAGCTGTTTTCACACACACACACACACGCGCTTCTCGTCACCTTATGCGTAGAAAAATGAATCTCATTTGACAAATATCCCCTCAACTGTCACTTGTTCTTTTGCCTGTCTTCTGCCACTGAATAGTAGAAATGAACAATAAGCTGAGACATCAATGCTAATCACTGATATCCAATTCTGACTATAAATCAATAAATTTGCCAAATCTTTACATACAGAAAATACATTTCTTTGATTTCCCATCAGTATATCACGCCCATAATCTTTTGTGCTCTATTAATTTGTCTACAGTTGCAGTTGACGTGCACTCAAATTGAACTGTATGCCAAATATTAAGGTAGTGAAAAGCTTTTTTTTCATTTTCATTCTATCCTCCCAGTCATACAATAACATTGTTTAAATAATATATTGTTTAAAACTTAACTAAAAATACATATTCTTCCCATATTCTATCCTATATTGGCTGATTGCAATAGAAGTAAAGAACGAACCAAGAATCTGAGCGAGCCCCCAGTGTCAACGTCTCGTACTCAACCTGATCCCTCAGTTCAGAATGATGTCAACATGAGGACAATGGAATTACTATTAATGATAGTTTTATCATTCCCAATTGACAAAATATTGTGTAAAAAAAAATATATACGTATGTATGTGTGTCTTGGAAATATGCTGTAAAATTTGATCAGGCTCTTATTAGCATCTTTACAGCAATCTGCATGATTTTTGCTCCCATTCATCCTCCCTCTGTCCCCCCCTCTCTCCCCCCACATCTCGTCTCCGTCTCCAGCTGCCTCGACAGTCCCCGTCCAGTGTCTCGACGACGTGGAAAAAAACAACAACAACCCCGCGGTTCCCCGGGCGTCCGTGCCTCGCCCCCCTAGCGCCCCCCCACTCCCCTCGTGCTCCGGCCGCCCCTGCCCCCCCGACAGTCTTCGGGAGGACTGCTGGTACAATGGGCCCTGGCCCTCCCCGAGCTGCTCCGGAGAGGCTCTGGTTGGCAGCAACGCCGGCTCCGTCGTCCTGCCCCCGCCGCCCCTGAACCAAGCCTCCCTGGACGACAGCTCGCGATCCTTCCCCAGCCCCCCCAAACCCAGCGACGCCATGTTCTGGGAGGGAAGCGCCGCGGGGTCCAACTCCTCGTCCTCAATTGGAACCTGCGGCCCCAGAAGCCCTCCCAACGCTGAGTGGGCCAAGCCCTACTGAGCAGAAGTGCGATGGGCGAATAGCTGATGAGATAACGTGTAATTGGATGGCAAGTAAACAAACGAATGAATGGACTCTCCGACCCTGCCGCATAGCTACCACCTAACCTGCCTTAAGTTGAGAAGACCACCCCTCCTGGCTGGACTGCACTGGACCTGCTGGTTGTGGAGACTAATGGGAGGCCAGAGGAGGCCTTTTCTGAGGTAAAGACTCTGCAAACTCATCACTCTGTCCTCTCTGCACACGGCACCGGGGGGGACCCATCGGACCTTGCAGAGGAACGTGCGATGAGGGACCCTGACAAGAATGGTTGTCGGTGCGTATACACCCCCCCCCCTACACACACACACACACACACACATATATCCACATCAAGCAGAGTGTGCCTGTGTGTGCAGCTCAGTGCGCGGGCATCTTTTCGCCTGCCTGCGTCTGTATATGGTCATAATAAACCTGATAGGGCTCAGAGGGCCTCTTTCTCCCTTCACCGGGGCCACGGCTTCGTGTGGAACTACTCCCTCCAATGCAAGTCTTTTTACATTTAATCGCTGTAAAGTATACAAGGTAGGTATTCCCATGTGTGTCTCATGGTGGCGTGAAGGAGAATTATTACTGTGAGGTCATTTCTTTCGTGCTGTGATGGCGACATGGAGTAACTGGGATAATCAGAGTTTTGTTTTAATGTTTTACCAAATTATATCATTTTTTCCTTCCTCAGTTGTTTGTTTTTGTTAAAGTGTTTGAGGATCAACATCAAAGTTGGCTTTGGCAAATCATTTCTGAGAATGCACTTACGCTTTTTGGATTTTGAGGATGCAGCATCAAGAGTAAAACATAATTTAAATAGAAAATAACACACTGCCCTCTAACTGGCACCAGAAATGTTCAACCGATTTTTCACAAGCACTCTTCCCCCAAAGGGACACGGAAGAGAAATCCCACTGAAGTTTGACGCCCAAATAGGTTCTTGAAGTTTTTGAATTATACCAAATGTATCTAACCTGTGTAATGTGCTGAAGTTGACCCGGTACATTTGTATTTCAGTGAAAGCTCAATCGGTGTGAGTCAGTTTTTCTTTGATTTCTCTTTTTACGTCAGACGAGTAACAACTGATGTACAAAAGAAAACACACGAGTAGAACAGAAAGACACAGGGGAAAGAATGTGCATATCTGTATAAATGTACATGACGGGCTTCAGTACTCTGCCAAATGCAGTTTTGCACTCCAAAGCATAGGTTTAGGTTGTTTTTTTCTACACGACCACGGGGCCTCTGACATGTATAAGAAGTGTCTGCGATGGCGACTAGACAAGTCGAAAAACTTGAATTGTGTCTTGATCAAAGAACAAAGGGCACAAGGACCTCTGGTTGTTGAACTCTTGTTTCCATTTTCTTCATTATGTGTCACGATATCTGTGGTGTTCTTGTTCATTTTTAAGAAATGTTATTTTACAGCAGTAGTTTCATACTTCTGTAAACAGTTTGCAAACCAAAATGCAATGTACAGTAGATATGGATTATATTTTAGATTTACTGCACTTCAGACCGTTTGTAAATATGATCAATTAAACAAAGGAAAATTCATTTGTGTGAGTTTGCTTTATCTTTTCAAATTTTAGCGGATGAGGATTTGTAGTTAATTTGAATTAAACTGAAGACTCTGGCATATCGAACTACATTACAGTGGACACCAGCAATAACTTTCATTTTACACGTAATATTTTGTTAATGCAACAGAACAATTCAAGTGCTGCATAATAATTTTTATTAATAATTTAATCTTAAAATCAAAGTCTAACCAATGGTGGTGGAATCTATGCAGAGAAATATTCACCGCCCTTTAACTACGCATAAATGTCCAAACCTCTGAAATATATGGCCGTTGTGTTCATCATGTATTTGATCTTTTGTCTGATTTACCACACTGATATACACTTTACTGCCAGAGAATACTTTTATTAACAATTCACTGCGTAAGTCACATGATCCCACAAGGTTCTTTGAGATGTCTCAAACACACAAAAAACGAGCATCTTTCATTTCCACGGCTTTCTAAGATTTTCACGCTTTTTCCTGCAGATGGTTTAGCAAACTATAGGGAAAACGCAAAAGGCAAGCAAACCAGACTCTTCGTCACAACGTGTGCCATCACCGAATGTTCAGTATAAACACACCACAAAGCGTTCTGCAGATATTGAGCATCCCTTAATTTATGTGAGGGGGAAAAAAAGGCCTTATTTTGATTACATACCACTCTTGCTCAGAAAACTAATTCACACCCCACAGATTTAAACAAAGTGCAGGCGTAATGAGCCCCGCCCGATGACCTCGTATCCTGGGTGTGTAGGACTCGGGCGCCCTGGTCAGAAGTCCGAAAGGAGGGCGGTTAGGTGCCAGGCGGTTCTTTACATGCTAGCTGGTAGTTTTTGTTTCCTGTTCTTGGTGGCGATCCCCGTCCTCTGAAACTCCAGCTTCTCTTGGATGTACTCCTGCTTACACTGCTCGTAGAACACCGGGTCCCTGTAGCTGAAGGAAAGCAGAGGGAACAGCATTTTACAGATGATTATACGGTTTGAGACTTGCATTAGGTTATTTTCGACGGCCCCTGACAGTCTGAAGATGTCAGTCCGATAACACGTGTTGCAGAGACCATTGCTAAATACTCACTGTATTGTCAGACATTCCTTCAGGGCCGCATTCTGCTCTCGACACTTGAACGCCATGAGGAAACCGGAGTCCTTACAGCAGTGGTTGAAGGCTGGAGGATGAAGGTGGTACAGAGGGGCAAATTAGCAGGAAGAAAGGGGAACAGGTTCAACGCCTACAATCACTCAAGGCATAACAGAGTGAGCACATCTCCTCGCCCGTGGGTCAACATCACTCAACGTGATGGCTGTATTTTTACATGCAGGTTGTTGGCCTCGGCCATCCAGCTAAATGTGTTGCCCTCAAGCCCCTTTTTCTCCATGGGCCGGTCCACCCTCACCTGCTGTTGGAGAGCTGTCCCCTATACAGGCTGCAAAGTAATGCAACAATAGCCTTACAAACTATGGTGATGTTCAACTGAGATGCAAATGAATTACAGGCATCGGTGACATTGTGTCTCGTTCACTCCAGATTGAAACATGCGAGGTGGTCATTTTGGACAAGCTGTTGAAGACTCTTTACCTTTCATTTAAAAACACTGCCCTGCCATGTCCCCTTCCAAACACCTGACATCACCAATACCTTCATCGGGGGCATCAGTATGGTAATCACACAGTCACTTTCATCAGGATGCAGATGTGAAAAAAAAAAGCGACAGCAAAAACCAATTTAGAGACGCAGAACAGTGCGACTAATGTAATCAGCCAGCGCCTCATCCCCGTCCCATGGCACTAATAGAGGCTGCGGAGGGTTGCCTTTCAGCAGGCAGCGACACCAAAGGCAGGTCACATGACAAGTCAGAAAAGGCCCTTCAAAAGAAAAAAGGCGTGAGGGCCCCCTTCCCTTTTTGTTTGCCCTTTTTAAAAGGGCAGTTAGTAGAAGGCAGAAGCGAGGGGCTGGACCGTTTAAGGAGACTCGGACCTTTAGAGGAGGGACACCCAAAGGATGCATCAATCCCCAAACAGACCCGCAAGTCTCTGCCGCTGACACAACCTCAGCGGTTAAAAAGAAGAGCATCTAATGAGGTATTTTCTCTAACACTGTGAATAACTTTGCCAGGCTAAACATTTGGCAGAGTGGCGCTGTTCCTGTCTGGCTATCCGCCTTATTTTTGTGGGAATGAACGATAACTTTAGTCATGAGGGGTGAGAGCGCATAGCCAGTCGGACGGACACGTCCCTACTTTATTTGGGCGACTGGGAAAATTACTTTTACAAATGACTTTTTTCCCCTCTGCCATTCGAGATGAATTACCAAGTAGCTTTTTGCAAATGGGAGCTAAAATATAACAGCTGTCAGGTGTTTACTCATTGAGCCACGCGGGTCGGTTACTTTCAATGGTTAATTTCAAAAGACAAGTGAGAGTATTGAAATGAAATCTCAAGTCGTGTTGAACAACAAAGCCAACGATACACAACGGTGTGTTGTTTAGAGACAGATCACACAGGAAAACATACGACTGGATTCGGTGATGATTTTTTTCCGACGTCCTTTCGTAAAACATAATCAACACCACCTGTGAGAGGCCGGTGCAGCCACAAACATAAAATCAAATGATAGAGCGCGGACATGGAGGTGTGAAAACGAGTGGGGTGAGAATGTGATGGAGGAGGGGGCCCGGGGGGGTTTCCACTGCCCACACAGCCACTGTACGTCCCGCCACCTTAGGGTGCATGTGCACCGTCCTCCCGCATGAGCAGCACGCGCCGTGTGAAACGGCGCCCAAGGTATTAGCAAACCACATAACCTCGTCATCATCTGGCTGACGTGTAACGGCAAGCAAGCGTTAGCGAAGCTGCAGCCAGCATTTCCATGCAGATTAGGGAGTCTACAGGAAGAAGAGATTTTAAAAAGAGATTCCAAGAAAAGCAAATGCAGTGTTGCAGATCGGGACGTACGGGTGTGGAGGAACACACGCGGATAATACGTGTAGTTATAGGGCTATTGAAAGCAGACTTCAGCCCACCAACCTTAGGGAGAAGTTAAACCATAAATAGCAAAGCATTAGCAAACCGATTATTGATATTATCTAATACTTTAAAGTTGTCTAACACACAGTTGAAATTTGTAGGCATTTCGTTGTCTTACAAATGTCCAAAAGCTAGTAATTTATCATCTGCAGGTGAAATGCAGACTTCAGAACCAAACTGGCGGGTGGTGGCCTCCTCAACGTGATCTCCAAAACCTGTTCGTAAAAATGTATACGAAATATTTGACATAGAAATTCGTAACTATACATACTAACTGGCGGTGGTTAACCACGGCCCTCGAGTGAACGTCTCTCCGCCATGTTGGATTTTTTGAGGGGGTTAGGGTTAGTATTGTATTTTTACAATTTAACATTGATTTCTTGTTAAAAATGCAATCATAACACGTTTATTTTACACCGTTAGACTTCACAAAATGTGTTTACGGGTTGCAGGTCCCCGTTCACTTTGAATAGGGTGACGTCATCAGTTGCAGTCCGTATTTATTTAGTATGTATCACTACGAATTTGTATCTTCAAGATTTTCGTATACATTTTTACGAACAGGTTTTGGAGATCAGGCTAGGCCTCCTATTGGGACACTTAAATGTAATGAAAACTGAATGTTAATTGTTTAAATACTTCTCTAAAATGATAACAATAGGGGACTAAATGTGTTTTCTTTTCATACTTCAATGAGTGCACTCCCATGCAAAGTCAATTAAAGGTTTGCAGATTTTTGTGATGCTGTTGAATTGCATTGTGTTATAAGGGAAGGTGCTTTTGTAATGTTTCATGAATGTTTGACTTCTGTGGGAGGAAAGGTGCAGGCTTTTTTTTGATGATGTACTTGAATGAACATTTTGTTTTATCAAATTCTATTGCAGAATTAATGCAGGTATAACAAAAGCATTGCAGGTCCTCATTGAAACTAAAATATATCTGTGAACGTAACTGATGTCACTACTGCAGACCATATACAGATTAATACTGGATTTGCCTTTTTTCACAGCAAAGGCTTCGGCCGCTCATAGCAGCAAAAGCACAAGCATTGCTGAGACATATAATGATGGCTCACTTCTTTGTGCAAAGTGGTTTCCCCTGCCATTATTTCAGGGGGGGTTACGCCCCAACACGTGTGCGCATGTGTCCTCCTTTTTAAAAAAGGGGTACAAATGTGAAACAAAGGATTTAATTATTCAATCAATGAGTCACTGATTGTTTTGTTTTGCTTCTGACATTGCTTTTTATTCGTTCGTGGTAAATTTGTATTCATTCATTCATTGTATTCTTCATCATATTCTTTATTCATTCCGTTTGTTTTGTTCATTCATGTTCTTTCTATTTAGTAGTTTATTTTCAATCCAATTTTAGTCATAGATTAGTGTGTTTATGAAATGGTATAAATACACATTAAGAAAAAATCTGTAGCAACCCTGCAATTAGAATTGGATCAAATTGTATGTCACCCCGATTTGTCCAAAATTGAATCTTATATTAAATTATGTTCGCTAAAATAATGGTGTATGTGGCATAATAGTAATGTATAAGTTAAACCTCTATTCAATTATAAACCCATTGCATGCAGGTCCCTATCTCTATGTTGTTCATAGATCATATTTATTGACAATATATTTATGGAAAACTTTATTAATGTGTTTCACTAGCCATGAACATAGCAAGATTTTCAATAAATAATGAATCCAGACATAATCACAAAAATGAGCTTATTGGTATTAGATGGAAACTAAACTCACTTGATTCCAACAGCAAAGTTTTATTTCATTTTAATTTCTGGTGCTCAAATGTTAAAAGCAAAACCCAAATACAATGTGCATGGCTGCAAACTTAAAACGTGACTATAAAGTCAGTAAGGAAGACAAGTGCTGTATCGGTGTGACACACACACACACACACACACACACACACACACACACACACACACACACACACACACACACACACACACACACACACACACACACACACATACCGTCAACCTTCTCAGCACAGCGCTCCTTGGCTTTCTCCCTCATCATTTTGGGGATAAGGACATCCTTCTCCACATGCCTCAGGTGGATCTCTTCTGAAAAAGGGCAAACACAAAGACAGATTCACAGGTGAACCATTGGGTCTTTAGCTAAAAACAACAATAGTTTTACTCTTTGCGTCCGTCCCGCTCACACGCGAGAACACACTCTGTTATCAGCTGTGAGTTAACGCTACATTCATACAGAAAACAGAACAGCGTGCAATGTTTACAAGGACAATATGTGTATAGTGTCCCAGTGTGTAGCTAGAAGTTAGCCTCTTTGCTGTTCTTACGCTAGCTCACGTCATCGCTAGCTAAACACCAGTCCGCATCACATCGAATAAAGATGACGCAGAATATGGAGCGACGTCACTTGACGTTAGATACTTTACCGACGTTAGGACATTAAAAAGCACACAATACGCTTTAGGGAGCAGAAACGTTTAATACCTGTGTTGACTGCTTCCATTGCGTTGCCGTTTCTCAAAACATTACAAAACCGGACCAATGTGACCTCGCGTACGCTCCAAACACTTCCGCTGACGTAGTGAGGCGCACAAGAAACTACAAATCCCAGAGTCACGCGCCAACACGCGTCATTTGTGTGGTGAGGACTTTCTAATGCAATTGATTATCGGGTTTTAATTCCAATTTTAAAAAGATGAGGTGTCCGCTAATCCTAAATAACGTGCTGCAGAATAACATATACTATATTTCCTCCCAGCTGGACGAATTTAGAGTACATGGGGTGGACATAATTGTAGAAGCGCCATCCCATAGCTTCTTATTTTGTGAGAGATGTTGCTAAGAATTATATGTCAACGTAAATTATGTTTATTGTTGTCAGAACCAATGTGAGTTCAGTAAAGATCGATGGTTCCTTCCATAACCAATATTACATGACTTTTACATACATTTGAAGTCATTATTATAAATTAAATACAAGCACAAATTTTGCTTACAAATGTCACATGTAATTTCACTTCCAGGCACGAGTAGCAAGAACGTCTGTGATTATATAGTGGCTTGATTATTTTAGCTTTAGTTTGGCAATATTTAATGGCTGAATGATATAATGTTTTAAACAGTTTCCCTTTCCTTTTTCTTAAAAGAACACATAAACCAAAAAGAAATTGGCTTGAATAAAAAAAAGAAACTAGCTTGAGGTGAATAAAGCCATAAGAATGGTGAAAGAGTACTCCGCTGAAAGTTCATCGACATCCGACCGCAGCGCCTGCACCACAGACTGCATGTTGAGCAGTACAAGCCTGACCACAGTCAGTTGTGGCAGACACTGGCTGTCTAGATCCCATGCAAGGAGGGCCCACCTGTTCAGTGAACGCGACAGGTACTACCAGACATTCACACACACCTTAAAGCAAAAGACAGGCTTCACACGTTAGACTACACTAAGAAATGAGCGTAAACTAACCACCTCCACAGCCAAAACCACATATACAGCCAGTGCGCCTTCACAGCTAACACTCACCCACACACACTAACCCAGCAGAGGGGATACTGTGAATGCCTTGCCTCTCGACTTGAAGTTCTAACGGCTTCTCTGACCTCACAAAGCCAAAGCCGCCACTTTACCTCTGGGGAGAAGCACATTCGTTTCATCAACAAATCAAAAGCCAGTGAAAAAACAACACCAACACCAATGAAAAAAAAATCCTTTAACAAAGTGAGATCCCAAGACATCTCTTGTGAACTGCATATTTTTAAAATGTTATTTTTTTTACCACACTCGTATAGACGGTTACAGCAGATGGACACGCACATCTCCAAGCCCGACCAAACACCTCCCAGACTGTACTCTCTGCTCTTTCTATTCCTCCTGACACCAGGTGGGCTTCTGCCGATTTTAATATCAGCCGACCTTTCTAATGTAGTGCTAGCCAATTTTACACATCAGGGCCAAGTGGAGTACACGTGAATGATTGCGCACACTGAAGCACTCCGCCATTATATAGACAATCTAAAATCAATGTCTAATGATGAGGAGGAAATATGATGCAATGCTAAGATATTGCATATCATCTACTTTTTCAGTTTAAAAAAAATCTGGATGTTTGATGAGAAATGTTACATATTTTTAGCTCATCATAAATAGAAATGGGTGTGGAGAATGACAATGTATAGTAAGAAAAGCAACATTTTGGATGAAGTAAAAAAAAAAGTTAAAAGTTATTATTTACCACTTTTATCTCACACATCTCCATTATTCATAAGATAGGATGATTAAATAATTGCAGGTTTCTATATTAGGAACTGCTGTAATGTTCACCTTGTTACTTTAAGAAAACACTTTTACCTTATATTTTTGTTTGGCCACAGTATAAACAGATGATTATTTACTGTGTGTAAACTTTGGTTTCACTTATTCACTTACTGACTTACTATGCAAGACAGTCAACTAGTGGAGCAAATGTCCATACCGGTTTGTACGGAGACGGAGTAGAAAATGAAAATTCAACCTTTGAGACAGTAACAGTATTTGTAATTATTTCCTGTAACACTCCCACACATGTTGCGTTCATTTTTAATATAAATTGTTCAAAACCTGCCTTTAAAACAATATCCTAGTCTGGGTAATACTAAACGAGAAAGGGAACAAATTAATTCAGTGCCTTGGGAAGAGGGGAAGTAAGCAAGCATCTAGCCCAGTTGGCTCCATAGTGTAACTTGCTCACTACCCCAGGTAGCATGCTGGCTCGTATGGCAGGGGCATTGGCTCCCAACACTCATCCAATATTACCCAAGCAGCAGGGCCTCATGAACCTGGCAGAAGGAGGTTAGCAAAGTTAAACCCTCTTACTACATGCCTCACTGCTCAGGGCCAACAACCAGCTCCTCCAACTGTCCACTGACACCTCTTGCACTTGTGAGTCACAATGACCATTGTCGGTGTGAGATGTACGTACACATTCTTTATCGAAATATAATGTAGCATCGGCTTTGAAAAAAAACTGTTAAAAGTGCAGGAAGATTTGGGAAAGAAGGCATGATAAAGCCTTTTCACTGCAACAAGGACACTGCTCTTACCTCGCACAATGGATGAATACATTTAACAACTTAAACTTTACAAGTACATTTGAGTAGCATAAAGCTTCTGGCAGCGCGACTGGGGAGGTGTGTTTGGATTTCTTCTTCTGCCGTGCGGCCTCAGACCCCTCTCCTCTGTATCTGTGACTTCCCGAGACGTCGTGCGACCGGCAGATGGGGTGCAGAGATGAGTTCTTAGAGAGTGTTTAAGCCCGAGCAACGGGGACCCTCTTCAGGGTCGATGGAGAGCAGATAATCCAACGACTCGGCTGAGGGGATTACAAACCTACAGTTGGGTCCTGCTGTGGGGCACCTTTCGCAGGTCACCTCTGTGAAATGTGGCTCTGGTAATTATTGTCATTAATCTCAACTAGCGTTTCTTGATGTTAAAAGTGTCCCAGCTGGCTTCAACTTGCCTCCTTGCTGAGTTTTGGTTCGATTTAATTGACGCATCTGAAGTATTCCGGTGAAATAGTCATAGTTACCCGTGATGGAGTTTGCTGCAATGGTGGTATGTCTTTCAATTATCTATCCTGCTGTCTGCCTGTTTTTTAATAAAGCTTGGCTCAATAACCAAACCTGATATGGGTCACAGAGGTACGATACTGACATTTTTATTTTCTAAATTCTGATGTCAACAACTGACTCCACCGACCTGATATAAGTGTAGAGATTTAACCGCACTGGTGTGAATGCCAAATTAAATCACCTATATGTAAAAAGCCTACAACTCAAATTCAGTAACTAAGAAAATATCACAAAATATTGCCGAGGAAAAATTTGTTCTACCATCACATTTAAATGAGCCACAAAGCCTTTTTTGCTTTTTAATTTTTTTTGGGGGGGGGGGATCCTGTTGGCAACACCCAAGCAATGTCAGGACGCATTTCCTCTCAAGCAAGTGAAGGGGTCTGCCACTGTGCCACAATCTGCACCCGCTTCTCAGGCAGGCTAAACCCTTTGACACCACAGTTTTTAATTAAAATTACATTAGGAGTAATCAGTCGGAAGAGTTGGGGATGGAGGAGAGAGGCATAGAGGGAGGCTTGGGTGGATGGAGGTATACGTTATTGATGGATAAAAGAGGGGGAGAGATTCACCCTAAGCCGGTGATATCTGGTGCAGGGTCAGAAAATATGGTGCTATTGTCCTGCCTGGTTAGCTTGTGGTCTTTTGAGGACATTTCTGCCCCTAAAGAAGTATTTCAGTCTTTAGTTTCTCACAACAGCACTGCACATCTCAAACACACAATTCAACAATTGGCTAATTAGTAAAGATTAAACAGTAGCAATGAGATTAAAATAAAAATAATGAAATCCTTTCCCTGCAGTAACTGCATTATGGTGTTGTTCTATTCTGCCATGTTCAGTGGGGATTTAGAAAATATGTTTGTCAAATGGAGTTGTTGAAACTTTTTTTATTTTTCAGAGGAGACACATCTGGCCTTTTCACTGCATTTGTAAAAGTGGAAGACCAAATGTTAATATGACTTCCTTCTTCCCAGAAACAGGAGAGGGCTGAAGAGAGAAGGCTACAAAGACCCCATTCGTTCTCACTTGAGGAGCTCTTGGCAACATAATTATAAGCTTTATGAAAGTACACAGCAGAAAAAAAGTGGAAGAAACCCACCAAAAGAATGGACAGGACAGGAGAAGTAAATTACTTTTCCCCTCTGCCTTCGCTTTATGCCCCCTTTAACAAGAGATGAGGCGGCGGAGGATGGAGGAGGCCTTCTTCAGGAGGCATCCCGGGGCTTTGGCAGCGAGGAAACCGGCAACGAGGAAGAGCATTCACCCTTCTAGTGTTTCTCACATTCATTAATCCAGCAAACCTCTGACCGTCCTACAACAATGACCGGAGTTTCCCTCATTACATGGTTCATTTTGATAAAAGAAGATGAAGAGGACAGCAACGAGGACAACAAGGAGAGCAGAAATGAAGGCCAGACCATTTGAATAGGGGAGTCGGTATAGAATCCACTAGTACTAAACAACACCAAAGAGAACATCTTGTCTTTTGATCAAGTTTTTTCTCCATCTCTCTCCCCTTTCTCTGTCCTTTTTTTTCTAGAATATTCTCCTCTCTAGGCTTCTGTGCCCACATTGCCTACACTCCACTGAGTGTCTGAATGCGGTTAATTATCTAAAAGGAAAAGTTTGTACCTGTTGAAAAGCTATCCTTGGTTGCTTGGCTTGTTAATGCCAACAAAAAGCAGCCGTGGTGGATGGTCAGAGGACACCACATGCTGCGGGAGGCTTTCAGACATGTCCCTAATAAGAATGCAGTGGTGAGAGTGCCTCTGAATGCACACAGGGGAGAAAAGGATGGGTCGGAGGGAGAAAGGAAAAGAAAGGGGAAAAAACATCTTTTACCTCTCCTTCTATAATTACTCCAAATGAAGAATAGGCTGAAGAAACGGCCGGGCAGACTTTCCATTATGACGGAAAAGAAAAAAAAATCTTCGAGTAGAGAAGGCAAAGCAAAAGATCGATAGATTTTTAATGGAGAAAAGACTTTTTCTTAATAACATTTCAGAAG